GACACTTCACTTGCCTACACTTCCCTTGCCTCACACTTCCCTTGTCTCACACTTCCCTTGCCTCACACTGCCCTCATCTTCTCCCACCTCCCTTGCCTCCTATTCCCCTCACCTCCAACCCCTCATCCTACTTTCTACCCCTCCCCCCCTCCCTCCCCTTCCCTCCCCCTCCCCCCCTCCCCTTCCCTCCCTTCCCTCCCCTCCCTCCCCTCCCCCACTCCCCCCCCCCACCCCCCACTCCCTCGCATCGCAGCAGCCTCAGTTCGTTGCAAAAAAAAAAATCCGAGACCCTCCGCTCCGCTTCGCAAGACGGATCCTTCGCCCTTTATATATTTATTTATGTTATTTATTTATATTATTTATTTATCCTTAAATTTATTATATTATTTATTTATTATTTTTATTTATTTATTTATTTATTTTTATTATTTATTTATTATTATTTTTATTTATTTATTATTATTTATTTTTATTTATTTTTATTTTTATTTATATTATTTATTTATTTAAACACTCCCGCCTCTCTCGCGCCTCCCGTACCCTCGGTTGCAACAACACTGATCCCCCGCTCTCCTTGCACCTTGCACTCCTGATATCCCTCCGCCTCCCCGCCCCCCCTTCTGCCCTGAATACAAAGGAGTTTAGGACGCGGGTACGAGGGGAAAGGGGGGGGAGGGGAGGATGAGGGAGGGGGATGGGGGGAAGGTTGGGGGAGGGGAGGGGAGGTGGGTGGAAGGGAGGGGAGGGGGGGAAGGAGGAGGGAGGGAGGGAAGAATGAGGAGGAGGAGTGGGGGATGGGAGGGGGGAGGGTTGGGGGAGGGGGGGAGGGGAGGGAAGGGAGATGGGGGAGGGGCCCAGGTGCGTGTGTAGGATCAGCTTAGACATTAGCGCAACGACGTCATCGGAAAAGGCAAGAGGAGAGAGAAAGAGAAAGAGGGGAGGAGAGGGAGGGAAGGAAGGTAAGAGGAAGAAAGGAAGGAAAGTAGGGGAAGGAGGGAGGGAAGGAAGGAAGGAGGGGGAGGAAGGAGGAAGATAGGAGAAGGAAGGGAGGGAGGTAGAAAGAGAGAGAAAATTGAGAAGAGGATGGAAGGAGAGTGAGGAAGAAGAGGGGTGAGAGAGAGGGACAGTGGGAGAGAACGAGAAAGAGAGAGGGGGGAGGAAGAGGAGGGAGGAGGGAGAGAGAGGAGAGAGAGAGAGAGAGGAGAGAGAGAGAGAGAGAGAGAGAGAGAGAGAGAGAGAGAGAGAGAGAGAGAGAGAGAGAGAAGAGAGAGAGATAGGAAGAAGAGAGACGTGACTCCCTCCTTCGAGCTCAAAGGAAATATTCCTCCCTTCCCCCTTCCATTCTTCCCTTCTCAAGAGATGATCTTGGCCGTTGAGCCGATGCCTGACCAGCTTAATACACATGCGTCGCCCTTACGTCAGACACAGGCCAGGAAAATCGTATTCTTCTGCCCGACCAACATCGTTCCATCAGACTTTGTACATCTTCGATATTGTCCATCATCATTATTTTTATTTCATGGGGCATCTCTTGATTTCAGACTCGAACGCGCTGCATTCTATGACGTCATTGTTAGCATCTCTTGATTTCAGACTCGAACGCGCTGCACTCTATGACGTCATTGTTAGTGGACGTGAAGTAAATCATTCATGTTTTGGATTAAGTTAATGTACCATTAGGGAAGCGTGATTTTGTATTATTTGTAAGTTAAGGCAAGATATTAATCATGAAGAGTCTTGTCATTATTGTAATAGGTTCTTCGTGATGGCGGTAACTTAATTATAATTATTTTAAGGCTATCTGCATGGAAGTTCTCTTTTTCGATACATTCGTATTATTAACGCTATTATTTGTTACGTATTTTATTCACACGATTATGATAATCATTTCCAGGATCAACACACTTCCACCACACTTCTGGTGACGAATTATGCCATACACTTCATTTGTTTATTTGTCCATTTTCTTACTTATTGATTTGTTCATTACTTTCTTAAACTCCCACATAACGAACACCAGCAAACGACCCACCAGCCCCCCCCCTCCCCCCTCCTCCATCAGTGTATGATGTTAGACCCCTCCCTCCCCCTTCACACGCCCCTCCCTGACCCCACCCCCTTCACCCACACCCCTCCTTTGACCCCACACCCCGCCCATCACACCCGCCCCACCCCTTCACACACACCCGCCCCACCCCCTTCACACACCCGCCCCACCCCTTCACACCGGCCCCACCCCCTTCACACACACGCACCTCCCCTTGGCCCCACCCCTTCACACACCCGCCCCACCCCCTTCACACACACGCACCTCCCCTTGGCCCCACTTCACGAGACCAATTTAGGGGCTTTGGTACCACTTGTACATTTCCAGCGTGTATTAGAGACGGGTGATCCGAGCCTGTGACGTCAGAGGTGGAAGGAGGCGCCCAATCGAAGCATCTTTGACACGCAAGTTCCCACCGTATTAACTGGGGCCGTAGCGTCTCTAATTGTCTGCATGATGCTAGATGGATCTACTTATACATATATATATATAATTATATATATAATTTTTTTTTAATGGATTTTGATTTCCCGTTAGCAGAGTCCACACATGGGATACTATTTTTTTCTCTCAGGCCATCTCTTTTTTTTTCCCTCAAATCAATAGAACTGGCGCCGTGTTTATTAAACTAGACTGACCAGACTGTTAGTGTAGGTAGTTTCAGTTGTGTAGGTAGTTTCAGTAGACCCTGAAGCTGTAGTTAGGTAGTCCCTGACAGCCTAGCATGCTATAGGCCATCTGACTGACAGTGTAGCCTCGGCGCTCAAAAAAAAAAAAAAAATACATAACAACAAAAAAAAGATGATCCTCGGTAACCAGTTAATATTTTTTTTTACCATTATTATTATTATTTACGCTAGGGAGCACATAAACCATTTTTTTTTTAACTAAATATGCTGGTCCAACCTTTCCGGAGAAGAACCAAATCATATTTTTGAGGTAGCGGAAAGGTTCGGCTTAGCGCTGGTGTGTTTACGCCGCCCCGCCTGGCGAACCCACTGCCCCCTTTTTGGGAACGAAGCATAAACAGAGCGTTGATTTTGCTTATCCTATTTTTCAGCAAATTGGTACGTGGATGAGGATCTAGGCGAAAAGCCATTGTGCGGCAACAGTAGTGGTGCAGGGTAAGATGAAATATTTTTTTACATGGCTTAGGCCTACCTGAGTCTACGCACCGGTCAGTTTTTTGCTTATTGTTTTATTTGAACCTGTTTCAGTGTTTTTAACGCACCGGTCTTAAGATTTTTTGCTTGAAATTCGGTTTGACCTGCTGGTTGTTTTGACACAACGGTCACCACCACATTTTTAGCTAATCATTTGGTTTCAAAATGCAGTTTATTTTGAGGCACTGATCATAATTTTGTTCTTTTTTTACATTGATTATTTCTATTTTTCTGATTTTTTTGGCTTATTGTCTGTATACACCCGAGACCAGCAACAACGACTTTACGCGTTTGCTTCACTTAGGGCTAATTTTCTATAGTTTTTAGATAGAAAGACAGCCTTAACGAAGTGGTTGTTGTGGGTCGTCGCTGCTGGACTCAAAATTTGATTTGTTTGTGTATTTCTTTCAATTCCTGGAATAACCAAAAAAATAATAATTATCCGGTACCATGACTGCTTTAAGAGTTCATTGCACTATTGTACTGCAGTCACAAGGTTTGTGAATAAACAAAAAGTAAAAAAAGCATTAAACGTAAATATTATGATTGTTCTAACAGCCTTTTCAAATAGCAAACCATTCACTTTTGCCAATTTTCAAAGTCCTTTCTAACAGTCCTTCTTCCCATGATAAAGTTGTCCTACTAGACCAGAGTTTCAATAAATAGCTCCTTCTAACGCTTACATGAAATAAAGCATATCAAAATAAAAGGAAGAAATTATATCTTTCCTATGTCAGTTAGCTTATCCTGAAGCATATTTTGATATATCAAACTGTTTAATATGTTCAAACGCTGATACCCTCCATGCCCCACCACCACCACTACCCCCACCCAAAAGAGAATAATTATATCTGTTGTTTTTTTCCATCCTCCAGATATACTCGCTTTCCTGAAAAAAATAGTATTTCCCCCCATTCTTTCTCCCATATAAGGCAGTCGACTGCATGTTGCTAGACACTTGATTTCCCTTGTTTGGTCATGCATAACGAAGGCATGTCTGCGTTTGATCTGCACTCTAGTCCATTACAATTGCATTGTGCCATTACTTCATACTCTAGGCTAAGTGGTACCGGATTCTTAAACTACACTTAACGTCAGCTGAATGCCTGACTCAAACGACCAGTCAGGGGGGCAGAGGCCTATGCACTGCGGTAAAGTTGAAACCTTGCAGTAGAGGAAGCGTTCTCGCCGCATGCGGAGCCAGGCTGGGACACCCCCGTTCGACCGCCGTCAGCCACCGCGCGGACGGCCCTCGAGTCCCCCCTTGTAGCTTGCTGTCCTCTTAAAGAGTCCTTGAAGCTTGACATCCTCTAGAAGACCCTTGGAGCTTGATGTCTAGTAGTCCTTGAAGCTTGCAGTCCTCTTGTAGTCCTTGAAGCTTGACCTCTAGACGTTCATGAAGCTTGTCCGTGTGAATTTGTGTCGTGTGTAGTTCGGGAGTGACTCGGACGCGCACGGGTCGGCCGGGCATTTAGCTCAGGATCATTCAACGTAGGCCTATAGTAACTGTTTCTCCCCCCCCCCCTATTTACGAGCCAAAGTTAAGCTTTGTCGCTTTTGTGATGTGAAAGTACAATAATGATAATGATAAAGAAAAAATATATATGTCTATAGAGTTCAAAATATTATCATTTTAAGAATTCCAATAATAACTTCCAGGATTTTTTTTTCCGTTTTCGAACCCTCACGAAGTTCTCTTTTTTCCCCAAAAGGTTAATTTGATAGATTGGTTTTTCTCCAAAAGACAAATTTTCCTTTATTTATTCGCCTTCTTTTCTTCCTTGGCACAGCCCGCCGTGTCCGAATTCCCGAACGCAGCTCAACATTTTCTTAATGGATGCACGCGAACACCTCTTTAATGCCCCCGCATGTGTGTGTTTTTTTTTCATATACCTGCATTGATGTGGTCGCCCGAATATTGAGAAATGTAGTCTAAATAAGAGAAGAGAAGGGAAAAAGTAAAGAGATGTTGTAGCCACTTGATGACGAAATATACCAGGGTCAAATATGATTCAAATATGATTCAGATTCATACTTGTGAATACGTAAGTGATTATACGAAGCCTAACTTTATCCATGATATTAATATTCTGTTGCAGGAACATCAACCTGGATTTATGACTTGAATCTACGGCTACATCTCTTTATTTCTACCTTATAAAGCATCCTGCAGTTTTTTTTTTAGATGGTATAACATACAGAGTCAAGAGCAGAGAATTCTCGCTAGTGTATAAAATGGAATAGATTTCATTTAAAATCCATAGTTTATCGGTCTCCCTAGTGAAGAATTAGTTCTCAGTATGAAACATAGTTGACTGACATGACCCATATTTCTAGTGATCAGTTCAAAATCTGGCAATTATATCGCCTCTAGATCACAACCCATGGATTTATGCCCCGATAGAATATGTGGACTAATATTTTTTCACTATCTTCCCTCTTACTAGTCTTTTTTCCCCCTTAATGACATTTCGTAATGTTTTCTCTCTGATGCCTTCCCTAATTCCGGTAACTAGGAAAGTATTGTCTCTGTCAGTTTAATAGGATTATTTTTTCTCTCAAGTTTTAACGATCGCCTCCTGAGATTAGTTTGTTTGTCTTAACGCAGACCGTTTTTCTCGGTCTTCGTACAGCTATTATTCATGTCTATACAATAGTTACTATTATGTTTCCACTCTCTCTCCTATTTTTATCATATGGTCTTCCCTGTGGCTTCCTCTACCACCCTGTCGTACTTAACTAGATGAGTTCTTGTGTTCCCGTCATATGAAAAAAACTGCCACAGCCCCAGATTTCTTTCATTCACCCCCCCCCCCCCCTTCAGTCCTTCTAAGATTTCTCATCCCTAAAACCAATGAGTTCAACAGAATTACTTTCCGACTTTTATCATCCCAGAGAAAAAAAAAAAACTAACCTTTTCTCCTATCTGTTTTCTCCATTCGCAATAAATCATTCGATGTTTTTATTACCCCGAGCAGACCCCTACCCCCACCGCCACCACTGCCCCTCCCCTCCCCTCTCCTTAATCCTTCCTATCCTAAATTTGACGGCGTCGATTATATCCCAACAGGAAGTGTCCGAAAGACTACATATGTTTACAAGGCTTTGGCCCCAATCCCAACTATGGGTACACAAGTTTTGACACCTTCGGCTGGGCCTTCTTATCAGCTTTCCGACTGATGACCCAAGATTTCTGGGAGAGTTTATATCAATTGGTAAGTTTGATTCTTTTCCTTTTTTTGCTGTGTCCTTGTACTCGCACTTTTTCCCCTTAGGTATATATTCTGTACTGTTCTTATTTATCATCCAGTATCTTTGCTCTTTTATATTGGATTTTAATTCAAGAAGAGAAATAATAAGAATGGCAAAGTGCTACTTAGTTTCCCCAGTGCAACAAGCTAAGGATCTTGGCACCGACACACCTCTCAACAGACCCACAGTTCTAACCACTCCCGTCCTTCCTTACCTGCAGGTGCTACGTGCGGCCGGACCTTGGCACATCCTGTTCTTCGTCTTAATCATCTTCATGGGTTCATATTACCTGGTGAACCTCATTCTGGCCATCGTCGCCATGTCCTACGATCAGCTGCAGAAGAAGGCCGAAGAAGAGGAGGAAGCTGCTCTTGCAGAGGAAGAGGCCATTCGCGTAAGTTGCAGGACTGTGTGTGTTGGTCCTAGTGATGTGTGTGTGTGTGTGTGTGTGTGAGAGAGAGAGAGAGAGAGACAATGTACGTGTGTGAGTGTGTGTGTGTGTGTGTGTGTGTCAGAGAGAGAGAGAGAGAGAGGGATGTCTTCCTCAATGTACAAAAATGTGATGTGTGTGTGATGTGTGTGTGTGTGTGTGTAAGAGAGAAAGGAAGAAAAAAAGAGAGAGAAGAAGCGAATGATGTCTCAACCCTCAAACCAACCAACCGCCCACCCCCACCCCAACCCCCACCGCCGCGACATCCTTCTCCCCCTTCCCCCCCCACCCCTTCACCCCAGTTATCGCGACCCCCCCCCCAACCACCACCACCCACCTAACACCCCCTCCCCCCTCTCCCCCAACAGAAACAACACGAGGAGGCGCAGAAGATGCACGACATGGCGATCATGATGGCCCAAGGCGAGATCGAGGGGTCTGTAGGCAAGTCCCCCTCCATGTTCTCCAGCAGGTCCTACGGTCTGTACGTGGATCCCGGAGATGGCATCGACGACAACCAGAGGGAGAGCCTGTCCGTGAAGAGCGAAGGGGGAGAGTCCATCACGGAATCAAAGCCTTCACGACCCAACGGAAAACTCCCAAGGAAG